CCATCTCCTTCCCAGCTGCCAGGCCCCAAACTAGGGTTAAATGCCAGGCTTGTTGGCTGGGGATGTGCTGGCCTGTTACAGGAGGAAGAAAATTATAGACATAGAGGAATTAGGAGGATTTGAGGGTCTCGATCAAGGGGGCCAGGATGTAAGAAGAGGGGAGCAGTAATTCATTGATTTGGGGGATTTTCTAGGGATGCAGGATTTAGTAGCCTGGCGGGGACAGCCGGGGATGGGGCAAACTTGCTGCTGGGGTGGTCCTTAGAAGCCTAGAGAAAGTGCCAGCTAAGGCCGAATGGAGCAGAAAGAGATGACTACCTGGCAGGCAGCGGAGGAAGCAATAAAGAGGCTGAGGGAAGGGGCTGTGCTGGGAGGGAAGGCCCAGCGGAGGCCAACGTTCTGTGGGAGAACCCGCAGTACGCCCCCTTCTTCAGGGTCGTGGGAGATGCACAGGGCAGAGGGATGCCAGCCTCGCTCAGGAGTGGTGGGGGCTGCAGCCAGAGAGGATGCGGGGCAGGTGGTCACAGAGCTGGCTCAACGCCACAGGGCTAGAGGCCGAAGACAGGGCCACAGTCCTGCTGGCCACCGGCGAAGGCCACTGGCAAGATTCTTTGGAATCCTGCATCCAGGGGCCACAGACAAGAGGAGGTGCCCTCACGGGCTGGGCGGTGGATAATGGACCCAGCTCAGAGGCAACAGGCAGAGAGGTGTAGACTCCCCTATACTCCTTGCTCCTCTGTAACCATGAACAGACGTAAAGACGTGTGTTAACCCTGGCCGGAGTAGGGTGTGACAGACAGGCTTCAGTGACGGTCTGGGTCACTCCCAGCTAGCAGAGGTGCTGCTGAGAGGAAGAAGAACTTTGAATGGACAGTGGAGGAGGAGAGCCAGCTGGGGCCCCGAGCTTCAGTAATGAAGGTGCCATTTTGTTCCAGTAACTTCTCCTCTCTAAGCTCCCCCTGGGGAAGAGGAGCCCATGGGAGCTTAGAGAGCCCATGCCGAGCAGAGAGGCTGCCCTGTGTCGTGTGAGGGATGGGTCTGGCTGCCATGCTCAGAGCATCCTGGGGTTCCTGTCAGATGCAGACTCCCCCAGCCAGCAGCCACGGCTCCAGGATGCTCCCCTGGGCTGGACCAGCTCTTTCTTGGAACTCACTGCAGGCTGGGACTCTGCCCCTGAACCTCCTCCTTGCCCCCGACTCGCCCCTCTCCTTCACAGGGGCAGGCCAGTACCACCCTCTGCAGCCTCAGGCCTGCTGCTGTTTCCTCCCTTCATTCCTCATGGGCCTGTCCTCCATGATGCCACACGCTGATTCTGTCTAGGAGTCAGTGGCCCTGAGATGACCCGGCACATCCGCCATGATGAGAACCGACAGTGTGAGCTGAGGCTTCACCTTCTGGGTCTACTCTTCCTTGGTAGAAGGTGTCCCCAGAGTGGGTGCCCCATAGGCAGGGCTGCATGTTGGGTGCCTCTCAGGCCGACAGGTCCAGAAAGGCCTATGTGCTCAGAGGCTGGGGAAAGAGTCGGGTGGGCTGGCAGGGGTCCGGGGTCCTGCCTCAGCCCTGGCTGTTGCCAGAAAGGCCAGTGGCCTGAGCCACAAGGTGCCAGGGGCTGGACAGAGGAGGGTGTGTGGGCCAGAATCCCTTGCCCTGGAAGACTGCTGTGTGGCTGCCTTTATGATGTGGGAAGGCACTGCAGCTGAGGAACTGTGTCCCATGGGACGCTCTCTCTGGGGCCTCTGCATGTCGGCTCTTCGATGATGTGGGTTTCCAGAGGCCAAAGTGAGTCCTTTAGCTTGGCTGGGCGAGGCACAAGGAGCAGGACTAAGATGAACGAAATGAGGCCTTGACTTAAGAGGACTTGATCCAGAGGACGTGGCAGACAAGTGAACCGGAGCCCAAAACACGCTGTGGTGAGTGCAGAGACAGAACCAGGCACGCACGGACCCCGGATGATGGCCCCAGACGCAGCAGGGATGGTTGTGAGGAGCATGGACCAGCTTCCGGGAAAAAGGAACTCTCAGCTGAACGTGGACAACGAGGACAATAGAGTGAAGTCACCCGGCTGGTGGAGAAGGGCTGTGGAGACTCGAGCTGGTCATTCAGGATGGAGAGCAGGGAGTGTAGGTGAGGGCCCAGTCCCAGAGCTGGCCCGGGTGATGGGTGCCAGGCCCTCCTCTCCCCCTTGTGTTTATCTAGCTCTGCACCCTGGTATGAAGCCTGGTATGACTGGGTAGTGAGCAGACGCTCTGTACTTGTTGAGTGAGGAGTCAGACTTCTGGTTCTAACAAGATGGCAGACTGAACTGGCATGGCCGCCACGGCACACAGAAACAACGGGCAAACCACAGCAGAAGAGGAACGGAGCATGAGTGATGGGGAATGAAGACGGGGCTAAGCCAGGCCCTAATCTCTATTATGGCAACTGGGCTGGCAGCACCAGAGTGACAGGCGCTGGGAGCTTATGCCCACAGGGGTGCAGGCCTGGGGATGGGCACTGAGAGCCTGAGAAAACCAGGACCCAGGAAAGGCTGTTGGTCTTCGGACAGGGACCAGGAAGACCTCCCTCTGGGTGGCAGAGCCAAGGGGGGCATCTCCTGTGCAAAGGAGCCCCCAAGCCTGCGCTGCATGTGGGTGTGGAGGCTGACAGCACCCCAGCAGGCTCTGGGAGCCTGAGTCAAGAGCTCGACTGGCCTCAGACTAGCAGGCCCCATGGGAATCCAGGGCCCTGGCGGAGCAAAGGCAAAAGCGACGGAAGGTCACGTCACAACCTGGGGCAGGGCAGGTGCGACTCCCACAAGGAACACAATTCCTGCTAAGACAGAAAGGAACAAGCCAGGTGAGGTCGTGAACCACCATGAAGGTGAGTCAACAGACATGACAGATGGGAGACCAGCGCCCTCAGAACCAGAGAGAACCCAACAACCTCAAGGAGGCAGCAGAATTGGTAAAACCAACGTCACTGAAGAGATCAGAGGAACAGACATCGTAACGAAAACCAGGACACTAAAAACCAGGACACCAAAAATCCAAAGTAATAGTGATGACCAAAAGTTTCAACTAGAACCTTTAAAAATTAAAAATGAAAACCAAACACTGAAATTATGGTGGCGTGTTAAATGGCTGCAAGGTGACCTCGCGAGGGACCCCCAGACACTTTAGCTGGAAAGGAGCCGCTGAGAGCGACGGAGCGCGGGTTTCCAACAGGCGGTCCACACCTGCAGCGGGCCGGCTTCTCTCTGGGGGCCAGGCTGGTGGCCCGCGGGTTGAGAGTGAGCCTCAAGACTGCCTCTGAGACCAGCAAGAGAGGGGTCCCCAGGGTTCCCGAGACATCAGATGCCCAAGCTCTGCCAGGCCGTGGCTCCGGTCCAGTGTGCCACACAAATGCTTTCTCTCACAGGCCTCTGGAAGCAGCACATCAATATTTATAACCCTGGAATTTGCCCTTTACATCTCTTCTCTGTCAATATGCCAGGAGCTAAGGGGTAGCCAGGAACAGAGCAAGGCTATTTTCTCCTCTCAGTTTCAAAGACAACTGAAGCCATGGTCACTGCCCCTATTGAGCGGCTCAGCCCAAGCTGAAAGCAGGAGGGCCTTTTGCTGACCCCCTCCGAGGACAGCAGCATCAAGCCGGTCTGTGAACACCCCTGGGCCTCAAGATCTCACTGCTGCCACAACCTGTGTGTACGGGCCTGCCCCCTGCCACCCAGCCAGCACCAGGGGTGAGTGTGGTGCCAACATGGGTGGTGGCAGGGTGACATGCCAGGCAGCTGAAGGCTTAGGTTGTTTCTACTGCCTAGTGCAGCTTGCACTGCCCACCAGGGGCTCGCAGTCATGACTTCCGCTCCCTGGAGTGCAGAGACCAGCCCTGCATGGCCGCTGGATCAAGCATTATGGGAAGCTGAGATGAGGGTTCTGACACAATGGTCTAGAAACCCTGGAACTTCCTTCCAGAAACAGTGCTAGCCAGAGGCAATAAAGGACGCCTGGCCAACCATTCCTTAGTGATTGCCTGAGGGAACATGGTCGCCCACTAGGGCACCTCCTACAGATAAGCCAGAGTGACGTGAACGGGATCTGAGTGGAGACTGGGTCACGCAGACACCCGCCCTCTGCCCGTACCAGAGCAAGAGTCCTTGAGGAAGACACGCGATCCTCTTGTGGAAGGTGAAGTGCAGTTGCACTGGCCTATCTGACTCTGTCCACTGGGTAAGATGAGACAGTTTGGACACTTCAGGAATAGATCAGGGTGTTTTTTGCTCAGGTGGGGACTCTTGTTGGTGACTGGGGTTCCGGAAGCAACCCGGGACAACTGTCTTTATTCTCTTCCCAAATCGTGATGTTGCGTTTGCCTCGCACAGCCGGGGCCAGCCCCCACCCCGCAGGCAGTTCCGTCCCCCGGCCCTCAGCTTCCACAAACACAACAGTAAGGGAAACAGGCAGGGGGTGCTAAGGTTTAAAGGGGATAACGCATGTCATGTCCCCAGTGCCGTGCCCGACACACGACGCCAGCACAGCAGAGTCCCTTGGCCTGACTTTACCGCCACTTCCACCATCTCACAGAGGAAACCACGCAGTTGGCGGCGGTAAAGGAACAAGGGGGTGAAAATGAGGTCGCCAACTTGAATCTCTGCAAGTACCCAGAAACCCCAGCTAGAAAACTCCCAGGGCAAGCCCCGCAGCAGCTGTGCTCAACGTAAGTACAGTGAGAGCTGTAAGCTTGTGGCCGGAGAGCAAGCGGGCGGGGCTGGAGGGGACTGGACACTCAAACGCACCTCTCGCCCCCCACAACCACCCCCACAACCGCTCCGACACAAATACTCAAGTCCTATATTTAGGGGCAAAAGAGACTTGACAAGAGAAAAACTTCCATTCCAGCCACAATGTAAACAGGCTGATTCCTGCCCTGACAACCCCTTTTCAAGAGAAGCCGGGGCAGGGCAGGCCACAGGGGCTACCTGAGCAGGAATGGGGAGGCGAGGCTCCTTCCCGCCGGGGGCTTACTTGTTGCTGTCTCGGTACTCATAGATGTAACATCCTTGAGGCAGTCCCGTCTCGTGGTCCAGGGTGAAAGCAAGCTTTAGCTGAATAAAGAGAAGAGAAAGACCAGTGAGTTTCAGGCCGCATGCGCTATTCAACCCGACGGCTGACAAGAGAAAGCAAAGCCAGCGACATGTGGAGAAGCTGGGCCTGGCTCCTTGAGAGAGCCCACACCTCACGGGACACTCGCGAGGACTGTTACAGGATGCCACTCATGCACATGCTACCAGTGATTTATTCAGCACCTACTTCCCGCCAGACACCAGCCTAGCTGACAGGGAAGGGACAGTGAATGGAGGCAACCAGGGGCCTTCTCCAGCGACCAAACAGTCTCGTGGAACAGACGGACATCAGTCACATCACCACACCAGGGAATGAAGATACACAAAGCTGTAAATCAAAATGGGTTCTCTGAAGCTGGAAGAAAGCGCCCATGTTTCTATAGAAGTCGGGGGCAGGAAAGAGGGGGCTACCTAGACTTGGGTAGGAGGGACAGAGCGAGCATGGTGATACGAGGCTCTCGTGGAGGAGCTCCAGGAACTGAAGGGTGACACGTGTGCCGGAAGGCAGCAGCTGCAGGGGCCATGGTGGGCAGGGCCGTTAGAATTCTGGGTCCTTACCTTGAGAGCAAAGGAAAGTCTCTGACAGATTTGAAGGAAGGGGTGGATGACAGAGCAGAGTGTGTGTTAGCAGGATCCCCCGCTGCTGTGTAGAGCAGACTGCAAGGGAAAGAGCAGCACTCAGAGGCGCCCAGGAGGCTACTGGGCAGTGCCAGTCAGTGTGAGGGGGTTGGGACCAGGGTGCCGGCGACATGGAGAGAAATGGACGATCTGAGATCTGTCTTCGACATGGATTTTTAGAAGCAGAATCGACAGTATGTGCTGACGGATGGAAAGTGGGGGTGTGGCAAGGACAGAAGAGGAGAAGTCAAGGATGGCTGAAGTTTCTTATCTGAGCAACCAGACAGCTGGGGAGACACTGAATTTGGGGATGGGTAGGGAGTCCAGAGTTGACTTAGGACACGTGAACTTTGAGGCCCTCAGTCTCCTCTGAAGAGGGAAAGCCAGGTACAAGGCTGGTGACCAAGGCAGGTTTTCTGGACTCGGAGGGGCTGCACAGAACAGGGAGCACAGAACGGTGTCACCGGGGAGGCCAGACCTCCGTGGGGTTCTTTGTCCCACGAGAGCCCAGTCGGTTATGGCAGCTTTAACATTCCCAAATGCAGAGCCAATTACTAGATTCACAAATTCACTGAGTTTTTAAACCACCAGGGAAATTTTAACTAAAATTAACTGTGCATTAGGAGGATACATTATTATAAGTTGTTTTGTTTTGTTTTGTTTTTTCTTCTTAACTGCAAGGCTGTTAACACAGCTAATGATCTGCATCATTAGATGCTGGACGATTTTTCTCCTCCTTGGAGGGAAGCGAGCTCAGAGGAATGGCCTGTCCTCTTACTGACCCAGATGAAAATACAAAAACAGAAACAAGCCCTTCTTCACCATCACGAAGCAGGAACTTCACGTCAAGGGCACGTTTTCCCCACAGAGCACTCGGGCCTTCCCCACCTTCTTTCAGGAAAACAGAAAGTGATTACAAGCCTTTTCTTTTTACCTCACTTTTTGCAGCCGAGGTCAGGTCTATATATTCATTTAGCCCGTTTCAAGGATTCACCACTTCAAAATTTATAAATCCTTTGACCTATTGGCTCAAGTTATGAATATATGACTTAGAAAAATTATCATAAATGTAGGAAGAAAGGTTTTTTTTTTTTTTACAAAATGGTGCACCTCGGTATTGTTTATTTGGAAAGACTCTAAAGGACCAGCAGTATTAGAAGGGCAACTAAACTATACAATAGTCATGGACTGCACAGCAGGCAGCCTTTCAATTGTTCATGAAGGACTTTTATTAACCTGGGAAAATATTTGGTTTCCGGGAAAAACAGCAGGATGCACACTTGACTATACACCAATAAAACTGTAAAAATGAACAGAGACAAGAGATTGGAAGCAGAATGTCAACAGTAATTGCTTACTTTGCATTTTTCAAATTCTTCACGATAAGAACCGAGAGCTATAAGCTGTAGTCCTTGGTCATGAAAGGATTATGGAAAATTGAATTCCAGGGGGAATCCCAAGGTCAAGAAGCTACACGTGCACTGATTCAACAGCAAGGCAAGGAAGCAGAGGCGGGACGGGGGAGGAGACGGGGCAGAGGGCACTGGTGCCCACTGAGGCTCTCCGCCATGCTGACCCCCATCCACATTCCGCATCACTGCGCTCCTCTTTTCAGACAAGGAACCTGAAGCTGGAACTACTTCAGTGATTTGCCCAAACCATGACTAGAATCTCCACCGACACCCCTGCTCTCTCCACCACACACAAATTAGAGGGCTTGGCGGTCTGGAAATGAAGTCTGGGGGAAAGGAAGGAGTCAAGGAAGACATTTAAGGTTCTTGGCCGTGGGCAGGAGGGTAGAGGGTGTCGCTGCTCATCACAAGGAGAATCAGCAGGCCTGGGAGAAGAGCTTGAGGATGCTGATTTTAGGGTGCCTGGGGGGCATGTTAGTGGCGAGGACCAGCAGGCAGCTGGATAACTGATTCTGAAGTTTATAAGCAATACTCTACCGTGGAGCACACATTTGGGAATCTTTAAATGAAGCAAGACGGCAACTGGAGCCACTGGGTGGGAGTGTTCCAAGACAGTACGCGGAGTAAAAAACGGGTCTTCCATAAAATCCTGAAAAATAACCATATTGAAGGGCGGGGCAAGGGACACTGAGGAGGACGGCCCTGGGGAGTTACGACATGATAGGCGCTGAGGGGAGGACACGGCTTAGGGAGGGAGCAACATTTAATCTTTGCCCGAGATGGGGTGAGAGAGGAACAAGCACCCCAAATGGGAACTAGGACTCGCGGGAGAGGGGTGTGAGCAGAGAGCTGAAGATGAGTAGAAGGTGAGCAAATGGGGGTCACAAGCACATACAACTCCGAGCAAATCAGAATGTGGTGGGGAACAGCGAGACAAATGAGCAGACCGGGGCGGGGTGCCGGCGTGGGTGGGAGGAGCGCGCACAGGCCGCTTGACTCGTGGAAGTCCTAATGCAATGGGGCGCCCCAGGGAGGGGCGAAGACATCACCAAGAGGCAGGTGCCTGAGGTGAGGGGGCGACCCAGCACACGTGGAAGCCTCTGCTCCCGTGCAGCTGTAGGAGACTCTGGGCAGGGGCGCAGCCAGCCCCGCAGACTCAGGAGAGGAACGGGGATGGCGGTGGTTGGTTATGCTCCTGTCTGCTTTTCGTTTTTTGTTTTCCCAGAGAATTAGGAGTTCAAATTATCTGCGAGGAATGGACAGTTTGGTGACAGATGGAATGGAAGTTGGAGGAAAGGGATGAAGGCTTGAAATTGCTTCACTGGAGAGTAGGAAAGCCAGTTGCCGAGGGACGAGCACGAGGACTGCCAGGGAGCGTTCAGGGTCCCGCTGAGGCCACGGGATCTGAAGTTTCTGTAGCAACCACAGGCCCAAGTATTGATTTTTTTCCAGCAACCTAGACATTGCCACAAAGAAAGTGAGGCTGGTCCAATGCGAGCATCTGCCAGGAAGGCCTGCGGGAAGAGCAAGGCTAGAGGGCGCAACGGGGTGGAGGCAGGATACTGGCAGTAGATGGGCCAAGGAGTGCGTGGGAAACAGGCGGGAAGTGAGAAGGAAAGAGGCCGACTGGAGGGAAACAGAAGGGTCTGGGGCCAGACGCCTTGTGTGGAGCAAACAGAGCATGAGTTCTCAGTCCCAAGCATCTTCCAGGTGTACTGAAATCTCACTGACTCCGACAGCCCTAGAGGTGGGGACACACCCCTATGTTACCAAGGGGTTCACATTTTCAGTTCAGACCAGTGAGTAGCAGAACTGAAGTATGGTCCACACTGCTAACTAGGAGCCTCCTCGGCATCCATGGGGACGAGGAGACGCCCTGGGGTGGGGCCCTGGGAGGGGCTGGAGGCTGTGGTCAGAGCAGGTTGCGTGTGGCCTTGGAGAAGGGATGGTCACGAGGAGAAGTCAGGCCATGGGAGAGGTAGGTGTGGGGGCATGAGACTCATCAGGATGATGATACGCTGCTTCCCAGATGCACCAGTCCAGACCGTCCCTGCCGCCGAGTAGGGTGTGCGTGTGTGCATGCATGCATGCGTGCGCGTAGGTGCCTGCTACGTGCAAGGTTCAATACATGAACGAGTGAGTCCAGCTCATGTAGCGATGCTGATAGCAGTCACTTCCTCCTTCCTGAAGATACCCTCGTGTCACTCAGCTCACCGGCTCCCAGCCAGGCCAGGAACTCAGGGGAAAGCATATCCAGTCTCCAGGGCTGGGTCTAAGTAATCCCATCCCCTTTATGGTGTAACTGATCAGGAACCCACGGCCATCAGTGCGTGGCACTTCCTGGTCCTAGCCCTGGCTCAGGAATGGAGCCCAGGCCAGGCCAATGGGATCTGAGGGGATCAGTTGAGTGATTCTGAGTGTGAGGGCCAGAACTGCTGTAAGTCGCTTGCACCAGCTCTAGGATGAAGCTAATTTACAGAGGACGCACACCCCAAAGATCAGCTGAAGAGCAGAGCCAGTGCCTTGACAGAGCTAAGCCTAGCCTCTACCAGCCTCCTGGGCCTCTAGGCCTTTTTGTAAAGGCTTGTCAGTCCCTCTAGGACGTGGAGACATTGTATGTCTGCTCGTTCCCTTAGTTCTCTCTCTAATCCAGTCTGCACAATGCAGCTGAGTGATCTTCTAGAACACAAGCCTGACGACCCCTCCTTCTCTCAGTACCTTTGGTGGCATCCTGCTGTCTGTGTGCTGAGATATATATAGCAGTGAATTAAGCACAGCCCGCTCTCTCTGGAGGCTGGTTGCTTGCGCAAACAAATATAGACAGTAACAAGGATGGGTGAGGTGGGCATGTGCTGAGGAAGGTGTGCCAAGCCACCTCTCAGGAAGGAGAGTCCCTCTGGACATGGGGTGGGGTGCAGGAGAGGCAGCAGGGCCAGCCTCCCAGCAGGTGGC